TGTAGCCCATGGTAAATGTCTCTGCTGAAATCAGACCTCAGTCAACACTATCTCCAATGGTTATGGGGAGGGACTGTATTTCACTGGTGGACAAAATGATTATGCTTTTCATGGGAAAGGTTGTGAGTTCAATCTCTGGTTATGGCCAGTTAGAGAGAGAGAGAGAGAGAGAGAGAATGAGAAGACCTTTTTTGCCCATGACACTGGAGGGCCAATACCCCTCAGAGATGGCATTAATCTGTTTGATGGGCAAATATTGGAACCTGGTATGAGGCCACTTTCTGGGTTCCAGTGGACTCAGCATGATGGGAACAGCTTTCTGCTTGGATCTCTGCAAAGGAAGGTTGGTGGTGGGGCACCTTTTGCTGAAAGATCATGCGGTGGTCGTGGGATTTGGGGAAGGAATACGTGGACCCCAGAGTAGCCTCCTTTCCTCGCTACAAGCTCCCAGTTGTGAGAAGCTGAAGAGGCTTGACAGTTTGCAAGTGTTTGCCTTGAATAATTAATTTTTTTTAAGAGCCTGCTGTTACGTTTATTAAAAATGCAAATTGTTTTTCTTAGCAAATGAAAGTTAAATACCATGCAGGGGGTAAAAAAACAGCGGTGAAAAAAGCTACTGCCTGGGATGAGTGGCTACTTTTTAAAAACTGTGTGTGTGCGTGAAGGAGGGATGTACGGTACTTCTAAGCGCCTCCATTTCCTCTGAGGGCATCACGCCAAGAGAGCAAGGCTTAGATGGTCCGTTTGATATGAACAACAGTTCAGTCACCATTAAAGGGAAGCCATTAATGCTGACGCTGACAGGCCCTTTGATTGGCAGAGTCGAATCCCATAGAAGATGTTCTTGTGTTCCCTCTCTGAGCTTGCAATGTATGAGCTAGACACTTAAAGGTCCTCTTTTCAGAGCTGATAGATCGCAACCCAAACAGCCCAGTAGGCACAGGCAAAGGCTTGGATTATAGGGATTTGGGTGGGGGGCAGGGAGATAATTTTTTCCTGTTCTCTTGTTACTTTGGATGTACTCGATTTGCAATTGCCAGCCAGTGAATGAACTGCAGCACATGGCTATCCTTGGAAATCCACACTGCTCTGAATTTTATGGTGACAATAATGTTCAAAACTACCTTGTGTTGGGAAAACTGGTTGCAAAAAAAAATATGCTTGCATTAGACAGAATCACGTGCAAAAATGCGCACTCTCGGGGAAATGCAAACAAATTTTCATGCAGACTTCTTTTGGGGGGATGGAGGAAATCACAAATTAATGGGAAAAACTTGGGAAACAGAGGGAAACTGAAACTATGCTGGAATTCTGCTTTAATCATTGGTTCTTACAAACAGTGGCCCTCAGCCGCCAAAACTTGATTTGTCTCAAAATGGGTGTGCCGTAAGTGTTTTCATGAAATGAAATCTTGAGAACTTGCATAAGTGGTGCTGCTCAACGAAATGACTCAGCAGATGCACCAAGCTATCACTGTAATGACTAGTTGATCAAACTCTTCCTCCAAGGAACCCAGCCTCAAAGTAGACATTATAGCGTCTGCACTTGTGATCTGCTGTGGGGGCGAGGGGATCGCACAACTGCAGTCACACCTGGCTTGCTATATTGACCAGTTTGGTCCTCCCTGCCATGTGTGACATCGTCCTTTCCTCAGTTTCCTTACCTTCCAGAAGCAGCCATTCATGTGAGGTGGGGTGGGGGAAGGGCCTGGAAAATATGCAAAATGAGGGCTTATGACTCAATGTTACAGCTGGAAGAGAAGAGGAGTAAACAGACAGATGTGTCATAATGCCTAGTTTGGACTCCTTGGTAATTGAAATACTGTTGTTCACACAGCAGATTTCCTGGCCTTGCTGAAGGGAGATTGGGGTGAACCTATGTGCCCGGAAGTGGGTAGTGGTTCTCAGTAATGGTGTCCCCTTGGTGCCTTATCAGATTGAGCGGCCGGTTTTTACATTGGGCTTAAAATGGAGCAGGGGGCGCAGGTCCCGGGAAGCATGTTGCTGAAATGCCAGTCTCTCTTTTTTTGCAAGAGGGTGCGGTCTGGGGACACCTGAGGCTGCAGCCTGGCTGAAGCTAAGCGGGTGTGAACCTGATCTGTCCCTTGGATGGGAGACGATGGAGAACTCTGTGCAGGAGCAGGATATACAAGTATAATGTGTTTGTTTTTCCAAAAGAGAGATGCCACCCCGCACACACACACCTTCCCATGCATGTGGCACATTCTGGGACAGGTATGGTATTGCATGCGGCTGGTGGAGTTCTGCAAGTAATTGCCCTGTCATCTCATCCTTCTCCTACAATTACTTGCCGGGTGGCTGGCTGACAGCTTATCAGTTCCCCAGCACCTCCATGACTAAATACTCCGCGGTTGCAATCAGATCCACCCTCCTGCCAAAGGAGTCATAAGTATTTTGCATTGTTTCTTTTTTCGTTCGCCTCGTTTTGCTCATTTGGAGATACTTTGCCTGACCACCAGGGGTGGGGGTGGGGGTCTGGACTTTGGGACGGGGTGGGGATGTGGCAAAAACCACCTCCGACTTTTGCATTTGGGTTGTTTTTTTTTTCTCCTCCTCCCGCTTTTCTTTCCCCCTTTTCGCCACCTACCATGAGTTCTTTTTTTCCCCTTTCATAGTGCGGACGAAACGCCGAAAACTTCGACCGGTTTTTCACTCGCCACCCACCTGTCTTAACACCACCCGACCAGGAAGTCATCAGGAACATTGACCAATCAGAATTCGAAGGATTTTCCTTTTGTAACTCTGAGTTTTTTAAAGCTGAAGTCAAGAGCTAAGTAGCCATTGTAGACCATAAGCATCACCCTCCCGCATCCATTACCATCTGCTCCCGGCAGCTGTTGTGGTGACATCCTCTGTTGCAAACCATTAGCCGTCATGATCTGAATTTATTTTGTGGTGATACTAGAATGACCATGTTTCAAAGACTGTGGGGAAAAGAAAGATCCTCGTTTCTGTAGGCTTAATAACACTTGGGATGGGACACAAGGCTTGGGAAGAAAGCCAATTTGCTTCAAAATCAGCCTGAGAAAACCCACCTAGTCCTTGATTTAGAGCAGGGGGGCTGTGGTCCTCCATATGTGGCTGGACTCCACATCCCATCATCTCTGACCTTAGCCCATGCTGGCTGGGACTGCTGGGAGTTGCAGTCCAACAACATCTGAAGAGTCACAGGTTCCCCACCCTTAGATTAGGGGACAAGCAGTGGATTAATTTAATAACTTGTAAAAATCCTGCAGATGCTGCCATCCTTCTCTGCCTCTATTACCTGCTTTGCAAAAGGACCGGCTGTTACTGCCTTTTCACTTTTGCAAAATTCATTGCGGAATCCCTCCCGCATTTTTTCAAAGGGTGCTATCTCCAGAAGAAGTTGGGGGACCTTTGGGGGAGGGATCATTCAGCACACGTGAACCAGTTTCCTTTCGAGTCCTTGCAACCCGACCGAATCCAGCCTGAATGCAGGTGCAGCCCACAGCCATTTTTTACTGCAGCTGCACAGGAACGGCTGCAGATTGCCTTTGCATTGCAAATTGACGGTGCTGAGTTTTCTCCCTGTGGTCTTGCATGTGGGGGTGCGGGAAGCACAGCCAGGATGTAGGACCCCATAAATCTCCATGAAGTGAAGGAGATTTGGGGGTGGGGCATGCCTGGATCTACACAAACACAAACTGAATAGCAGTTTCTGGAGGCCACAGGAGGGGAGAGGGGTCTTGTGCTCAAATCCTGCTTGCTGGTTTCCCACAGGCATCTGGTTGGCCTATGGGAAATCGAGTAGATGAGCCACCAGGATGTTGGACTAGATAAGCCACTGGCCTGATCCAGCAGCATTTTCTTGCGTTCTTATGAGCATTACCCCTAAGGACCCTTGAGAATTGCTGGGGAGGGGATAATCTCTTACAGAGCATTTTCAGCCTCCTCCTCAAACTACAGTTCCCAGGATGCTTTGGGGAAAGGGAGAGCAAGGTAAAGAGTCAGCATTAAGTACTTATTTACACAGCACATAGGCAAACTCTGCTTTTACAGGAGACAGTGATTGTCACCAACTTGGATGGTTTTAAAAGGGGATTAGACAAATACGTGCAGGAGAGGGCTATTGATGACTACTAGCCAGGATGGCTATGCTCTGCCTTCATGATCAGAGACAGCAATGCTTCTGAATACCAGTTGCTGGAAACCACAGGATGGGAGAGCCACTCTTGTGCTTGGGTCCTGCTTCAGGGTTTCCCATAGCGGCATCCAGTTGGCTGCTGTGAGAACAGGATGCTGGACTAGATGGGCCACTGGCCTGATCCAGGAGGCCATTCTTAGGTCCAACCTCCCCGCTTCCACCCCATGCTTCACTTTAAATTGTGCACATGCATTCCCAGAGATAACTTGACAGGAATCTGAGAGGGCCTGCATTTTAACACATGGCTGGAGACACTGTGTTGTTCATTTTGCCCATAAGAAATTAAAGAGTGCCCTGAAACTGGATCAGACCAGAGGTCCCTCAAGTTCAATATCCTGCTTCCCACCCTGTGGGAAAATTGCATACAAAAAATGTGCATCTTAGGAGATACTAGCACTCAAGGCATATCCACACTCACCTTTCTTTCCTCCGTGCTTTCCAGACACGGTCCGTACTTTAAAGCTACATATCTGAGTGTCCTTTTGTCTCTTCCAGAGCTTTCCTCATGAAAACCCACAATCCGTGGAAAACCCTAATTGCCATTTGTTGCACTTCAGCTTTAAAGAGCAGGGGTTTTTGGGTAGGGAAGTCTTCATGGCCAAACAAGGACGCTCAGACACGTAACTTAAAAGTGCAGAGCTGTGCCTGGAAAGAGCAGGGTAAAAAATAAGTGTGGATGAGGCTTTAAATGGTGGTGAATTTTCTTGAGGGCTTTTAAAAATAAAAATTGCAAACCGATTTGGAAATGTGGAGAAGTCGTCTTAAGATTGGATAAATGAGAACTTGAGGAGAACTGAAACTGGCAGATTTGCCATGCTGTAGCTTAGTGGTAGAGCATCTGCTTGGCATGCAGAAGGTCAGTTGCTAATGGCATCTGCAGCAAGGGCTGGAAACACTCCCTTGTCTGAAACCCCAGAGAACCACTGCTGCCGATCAGTGTAGACAATTCTGAGCTAGCTGGTCCCGGTGGGTCTGACTCTTTGCCAGGCAGCCCCATATGCTCCTCCTTAAGTTGCAAAGCTCTGGGTTGCAAGAGAGAGAGAGAGAACTTCTCGCTGTCCATTTTCTGTGGTTTGCAGCCCAAAGGGGCCAGCAACCTCCTGCTTCTCAGCCCAGGTTGATGCTGAGCTGGTGGCAAGCAGGTTGACCAGGGGCTTCTTCCCAAGCAGAGGCTGCGGCTCAGCGTGGGCTCCCAGAGTTTCAGGCTAATTTCTAACCACACGCAAACTGATGCCTGAGCTCCTGGGAAGAAAGAACAGTATCACACGCAGGCAGGGCTGCGTCAGTTGATTCCCTGCTCATAACCCATCAGTCGGCTACAATCTGGTCTGGCAAAGCTGAACAAGATGGCAGGATTTCCTGTGAATGCTTTGGAACCAATGGTCACCCTAGTATCTACCACTCATGTCACGGTGTCGACGTTACCCTATCCAACCTTTGTGGGTTTCTTTCCTTAAAAGTATTTGGGGTGGGGTGGGGTGCTGTCTGTCCAGTTGCCAAATCGACAAACTCCTGTCTGTTCCACTGCGCTTTACGTGTGTCAAAAACCTGAGTATTTTTACTAAAATGAAGCTGATATTTAAAAGTCCAAACAGTATTTGTGTAACTTGACTGAAGCTGTATTTTATTTTATTTTATTTTATTTTATTTTATTGTCTCAACTAATCTTCTGAAAGTAACAAAGACTTGCCACTGGAATTCTCCTTTGCCAGTAGGGCTGGCAACCTTAAAGGAAAATGAAATGGGTTCTTTTAAGACTCTGATGCTGCTCAGACACCTTTTATTCTCTCTTTGGGGGTGGGGAGGGGTTCTTCACTTACCGTTTGCTTTGAGTTGTTCATGTGCCAATTTTTTCCCCCCGATACAATTATAAAATAAAGAGTCAGAAATCTTGGTTGGAGGAAAACTCAATTTATTTGTAAATGAGACTAAATGACAGTATGGTGATAAGCATGGGGGTTACTGCAGAAGAAAATTGCAAGCAGAATCTGTTTGCAAACGATTTACAGAGTTCAAATTTGAAAGCATTTCCAGGTGTGGGTGCTCAGAATTATACTCCAGGGTCTCAACCAGCTTTCCAATGCAACCTGGTGCCTTCCAGATGTTTTGGACTACAACTCCCATCAGCCCCAGCTAGCATGGCCATATGATGCTGGGTTCAATGTGAATTGTAGTCCAAAACATTGGGAGGGCACAAGGTTGGGGAAGCCTGAACTAAACTATTAAACTTAGCATGTGAAGTCCTTAATGTTGTGAGCTTGAAAGTGTTCTTTCAACAAGGCCTTATTACTGCTTTTATAAAATTGTTTGATGAGGTCAGTTTGTTTGTTTTTAAAGGAAAAAGAAAGGAAAGTGCTCCCCTCTCCAGACTGAAATTTCAGGTCTGCATTTCAGTTTGTGAGAAATTCTATCTAAGCAGTTTTATACACTAGAAAATCTGGGTGGAAGAGCCTAACAGGTACTGATGAGCAGTCCAATCTTAAAAAACCTTCCTCTAGGAAACTCATCACAGTGGTGAACCCTTTGAGCTTCTGGGTTCATTAGGACCTTCTGAGAGAATGTAACCCATCAGGACAGGATGCAAGCTATCTGTAGCATCTACATACCTGGAGCAGCTTGGTCTGGGAGCCACGAATTCACATCGTTCAATAACATTTAAGCCACTTGGACTTAATATGCTTTTGGATGGATCCAGATGAACACTCTCGCCTCCATTCCCCATCCCTACCATTAACATTGACCCAGTGCAGCAACTCTGAGGCCGGCAATCAAGTGGACCAGGTTTGCACAATAGGTGTGTCACTAGTCAACCCTTCTTGAGCAAGGTGGAAAGATCTGGGTGGTCCAATTAGCCTGCTCCTTTGCTGAGCTGAATTCCATGTTCCCTGCCCTGTAAATGTATGCAAAAATTGAATCGGCTCCCTGCTAGAAAGGGAAGGTGCTGTGACTTTGTCTCATGCTCAACTATTTTGAGACTACAATTCCCGTCATCCCTGACCACTGGTCCTGTTAGCTAGGGATCATGGGAGTTGTAGGCCAAAAACATCTGGAGGGCTGAGTTTGCCTATGCCTGCCATACGGCCTAACTTCACTCAAGCCAAAGAGTGGAAGATCATACCTTTGCTCTCTCGTTCTCCACAAAGGAAGCAGCCTTTCTCTGCTAGGTATTTCAAAACTGTTGATGATGTTTTTGATGGGGGGCACCCCCAAAGTGTTTGCCCCATCAGGCCCACCTGGTCATTGCATGAGACATCAGCAGCCTGTGGTTTTGCTCTGGAGGCAGATGTCCTTGTGAGCAAATAGCAGCCTTGGGATGTATCTGGTGATGGACTTATTTCCACTTACCTTTTGCCCCACTCTTTCCGGGTTCAAGTCCTCACTTTAAAGCTCCATGTCTGAGCGCACACACTCCAGAGCTTTCCCCATGAAACCTGCTATTTAAAGCTGAACAAATGGCTACCTGGGTTTTCCCACGGAATACAATGAGCTGACCGTTGCTGCAATCTTACACTCACTTACCTAGGAGTAGGTCAATGGGTCTGACTTGGATTGCAGTTTGGGGCTGGGAGTCGGTCTCATTGCATTTGAGTAAGGGCCATGGATTGGTGGCAGAGCACTTGCTCTGCGTGCAGAAGGGCCCAGGTTCAATCCCTGGAAGCATCTCTAAGTATGACTGGGAATGTCTCCTTCCTGAAACCCTGGAGAGCCACTGCCAGCCCGTGTAAACAATACTGAGCTGGGTAGACTGGTAGTTAGGATAAGGTAGCTTCCTGTGTTCCTATTTAAATCAGCCTTCTATTCAAAATCATGAGGACTAGAATCTTAGCTTAGTGGTAGACCATCTGCTTTCACTGCAGAAGGTCCCCAGGCTCAATTCTTGGCACCTTTAGGTAGGGCTAGGAGCCTCCCCTGCCTGAAACACTGGGGAACTGCTGCCAGTCAGTGTAGACATTGCAGAGATAGATGGACCATTGATCCAACTTGGCAGAAGGCAGCTCCAAGTAAACATGAAACAGATGGTGCTGCCAAAAAAAAAGTTATTGGGCAATAGCCCTCAGTAACCTCAGTATCCCTGGTGCAGCCAACCCACTGAAGACCTAAACATGCCTGCCATCACTTTTGAAACAAACTTCTCTTTTTATCTTGGTCTCCCTTATTATCTTAAACAAGCATTTGGTAAATCTGTAAGGTATATGTTAACTCATTCTCTGAGTCTGGGAAGATATAGAGCCAACCTGAAACTTATTTATTTCTTTAAGTGTCTGTCAGACAGGATTATTATACCTAAGGTGGGGATCCCTTAAAATGGTTAGAATCTCATCGGGGCTCAGAATATAGCCTGCTTCAGCCCAGATCCAACCTTTATAAGATAATGTGCAAAGAGATGAGCTAATTCCTTGTTTAAGTGCTAGTGGTAATGGGGATGGCTTGGGACAAATAGCTGAGGTCAACCAGAGAGTGATGAAACCACCAAGAAATGGGTTTGGCCGTCAATCAACTCAAGTCATTGGCCCATCTGACCACATCCTGCCTACTGGGGTTGATGACATTGCTCCAAGGTATTTCAGCTCCTACAGAATGAATGATGCTTTGGAGGGTGTAAGAGGACCCTGCTGCAAGAGAAAACTACTCTTGGCTACTAAAGGGATGGAGCTCATAGGGGTAAGTTATGTGGTCAGGGGACAGAGCCCTGTTACAAGACTCCTTTATGACTGAAATAATTTCATGGAAAAGCCAGTCATTTTCAACCAGCTTCTCCAACCTGGTGCCCTCCAGATGTTTTGGACTACAACATCATCCTGCTATGCTCACTTAGTTTTTATCAAAGGTTATTTGACCTGAGGGTGGCAGGGATTGAACCTGGGGCCTTCATCATGCCAAGCAGCTGTTCTTCCTTTGAGCTATGGCCCTTCCCAATCCATTTGCATGGAATGCTCTCATGTCAATCACAGGCAAGTGGTGAGATCACAGCTTCGGACTTCCTGGGCCACATCACAAAAAGAAACTTAAGTGATGAGTTGTGGCTTGCAAAACTTCTCATTGAAAAGTCAGACCTTTGCAACATCAGTTGAGTTGTCATCATCTCAGCTGTGTCTTGAGTCTGTCATCATCTCAGCTGTGTGTCAGAAAACACCTACATTAAATATGTGATTGGATGTTTCACCCATCTCAGGGTCCTTAATAGGTGGCCATTTTGCTACATGCTGTACCACACTTTAGTAGGCTGGTGAAGAAGTTCATCCCACAAAAGCTTGCTCATTCATATGGTCCTAATGACTTCAGCCATGTTGGCATTTAATCAGCAGCCAGGCAGGAGTAATGCCGGAGGCTGTGAATGCTGGTTCAGCTGCTCCAGCCCCCATAGTTTAGATGTGGGCAGGTGACAGACCTACTATGATGCAATCATCTAGCAGAGGCCTCTCTGGGAGGGCCAGAACCTCTGGCGTGCTTCCAAATTCTGACAACCTTAATGGCTATAAAATCCAAGAGAAATTATAGAAAGTGATTATTGTTTGGCAAATATTTATTTGTTTGTTTGTTTAAAAAAACTAGCTCTGATCCCGAGAATGTACACTCAAGGGTGCTCCTGCATAGGAATATAGGAAGCTGCTTTATACTGAATCAGACCCCTGGTCCATTTAGCTCAGTATTGTTTACACCAGGCTTCCTCAAACTCAGCCCTCCAGATGTTCTTGGCCTACAACTCCCATGATCCCTAGCTAGCAGGACCAGTGGTCAGGGATGATGGGAATTGTAGTCTCAAAACATCTGGAGGGCCAAGTTTGAGGAAGCCTGGTTTACACAGATAGGCAGTGGCTCTCCAGGATTTCAGGCAGGGTTCCCTCCAAGCTCTACCTGGAGCTGCCAGGGATTGAACTTGAGGCCTTCTGCATGCAAGGCAGATGCTCTGCCACTGAGCTATGTGTGTATGCATGCACTCACCATCCTGTCTTCCACCCAATCTCTAATGGAAGGGAAGCCATATGGACTATGAGACTTTCCTAAGAACATCAGAAGAGCTTCTAGTCCTGTTCTCATAGAGGCCAACCAGTGCCTGTGGGAAGCCAGCAAGCATGTTCCCCAAAACATCTGGTGGGCACAAGGTTGGATGCCATCTAGGGTTCCCCTTTCACTGCAGCACCATTATTAATTGCGTAACTAGAATTTGGGCAAGGAATCCCTGGATTGGCTTCCTCGTAGACTGTATATACATAACAAAACAAGCGATGAGCACCATTAACTAGGATGTCCTTTAGCACCAGCGCCATTGATATGAAAGGGAGTTACACAAGAGTGCCTCTGTACACAAGCGCAAGAACTGGGAATCTGTAGACATCCAGATGTCATTGGCCTACAGTTCCTATTATTATCCCTGAATGTTGACCAACCATCTGTGGAATCCCAGCCATGCCCAAAGGGCTACAGGTTCCCTGTCCTTGGTACTGCAGAAGAAGAGAGCTCTGCCCTCAGCATGCAAAATGCTCCCCTTGCTGCAACAGAAGCATTGATGCATTATTTTCTGGCTCTAGTTTACTGTGTTTTACAGGGATGCTTCCTTCACCAAGTCATTTCCTAACTCTGTATTGCAAATCTGTGTTTCAATGAAACGTTTGCATGATAAGAAACTACTGTGACTGCTGCTATTATTATAATTATTATTATTCCTACTACTACTGCTATCATTTTCATCTTCATCTCCACATACAGGAGAATGACTTCATGTCCCCTCTGTAAGGGCAGTAGCATCGTTCTAGGGATATTCAATACAATGCAAGATGGAAAAAAATGTTTCTCTCTGTGTTGCTGTTGTTCACTGTTTCCTCCTGCAAATACACTCCCTGCATAAATATGTCACTACCTGGAATGTAAGATGTCCAAATTAATGCATGGCCTTTCCCAAGAATGTTTGAAAATTGATATATAAAACATAAAACTCGTAGGCTGTGCTGGAGAAATGGGTTGAGTGCACACACTCTCGAGGGGATGGGAGTGAGTCTGACACTTAACTGAGCAGAAATTCTCGTCACCAAACTCCTAGCCCACTTTTCCCTATTAAAAATGCATTACATTAATAGTATTGTTAATACGAATAGAAAATAAGTAGCACTCTTATATGCGATTATTGCTATAAATTTCTAGCTTGCTCAAAGTGCTGCACATATATTGTCTCTGTAACTCTCATAATGATCCACTCCAGCAGATTATTGCCCCCAAATTACAGAAGGGGCGACTGAGGCTGCGGGAACCAAGGTATACCTGAGGCCACGTAATGATGTGTCCAGCTGGGAACTCCCAGCTCATGTTTCGTACCTGCTTGCCACTGAAGATCATATCCATTCTGAGTAAATGAGCATATGCTTGGGATCAGACCACAAGCCTCACCAGCTTAGAAAGCTTTAAAATTAGTGAGGCCACCTTTACTTGTGGGCAGCTTTCCGCAGGCCACATGTCAGTGGTGGCCGTGGCCAGAGTCAAAAGTGGGAAGAGCAATGGGTATGACCATTACCTGTGTACACTTAGGCTACATTCCAGGCGCACACAAGTTTTTGGCACCCATCGACTCCAGACGAGCAAGAGGCATTATCACAATTTGGACAAATTCCAGCCGGGCAAAAGTACTCGAGGAGCATGTAGAACAGGGCCAGCAAGAAGAGCATAGTTTGGGGGGAGTCCTGAGGGCCAGAATGACCTGGGGGGGGCAGGGCTTTGGCTCCCAGACCTGAGGTTCCCTATCCCTGCCTTAAAAAATGCTTTGAGAACTCAGGCTGCAGAAGCAGCAGTAGAAATCTGCTCTTCCTAGATTGTTGTGTGCACACATTTGGATTGTAACCATTGCTCACATTTTTGGAAGTAGAAAGTTCGGTCCAAAACAAGGGGATATTTATCCCTGCGGAGACACAGAGCCCACTGTCTCCCAGTGACTGCTGCAGGTCCACGGCGATGGCACATCGATATATCTCCTTCAAAATCGGAATGGCTATTCCTTCCCTCTCCTCTTCTGAGCTGCCTGATGGGTCTGGTGGCTGGTTTGTTGGGGGGGGGAGTTCTCTGCCCAGCTCCCCCGCTCCATTCCCTCGGCCTCCCTTTTTAACCCTGTGCTTTTCATCCAACAGAAAGACAAACACGACACTTCCAACTTCGATAAGGAGTTCACGAGGCAGCCTGTGGAACTCACGCCCACCGACAAACTCTTCATCATGAACTTGGACCAGAACGAGTTTGCAGGATTCTCCTACACTAACCCTGAGTTTGTCATTCATGTTTAGGCGACGTGGCAAATCCTTCTGGTCCTCTGCTTTTGTAATCACAGTCCTGAATTCCAGATTGCCTTGTATATATGGACACGAGTCTTCCGGGGTTAATGGTGCATCCGTTCCGACATCCACATGCCCTCGTTGGAGAAGAGAGGGACGTCTGTCTTTGGCCACTTCTCCTCTGTGTGTGCAATATATGGTTTGTTCTTTGACTGGTCTGCAAAAGGAATAGCGTTTCTAGAATCTCTAGCTAGTTGGCTAAACTACCAATAGAGTTTTGAAACATGTCAAAGAGTATTGTCTCGAAATATCAACTTTACTACTGTCTTTGTATTTTCAAATGAAACTGAAATGCCAGTGTTTTCTTGTCTTATTTGAATGCTAAGCATGGTCAATATCCTCAGCCGT